AGTACACAGGAGGTGGAGAGATGCTCTCAATGACACAAGTTGTTCAAGGCCAGTCTGGGATCCAAAAGACCCTGTCTCAAAAGAACAAAGAGAAAAAAATAATAATAAAATTTTAAAAATTAAATTAGAAATAAGAAAAATTTAGTTCTTTACAGTTTTGGGGGCACCACCTCCTCTTTTTTTGTACCCTTTGTCCTCTCAGTCATCCCCTTTTTTTAGATTCTTTTAATTTAAAGTAGAAACAAAATTATTTTACATGTCAATCCCAGTTCCCTCTCCCTCCCCTCCACCCCTGCCCCCCATCAAACCCCTGTCCCATTCCCTTTCTGTTTCCCAGTGAAGCTGAGCTCTTCCATGGGGGATCTTCAAAGTCTGTCATATCATTTGGATCAGGGCCTAGGCCCTCCCCCGTGTATCTAGGCTGAGAGAGTATCCCTGTTTGTGGAATGGGCTCCCAAAGTCCACCCGTATACTAAGGATAAATACCGATCCACTGCCATAGATTGCCCAGGCCTCCTAACTTACACCCATGATCAGGGGGTCTGGGTCGGTCCTATGCTGGTTTCCCAGTGGCCTCATGCTCACTGTATGTGCCACTACAACCAGCTCTTTCATCCTTTTTAATTAGGGCAGATATGCAACCCCCTACTTCATCTTACCACTAAAGAGGGGCGATCCACAGAGAGCAGCAGGTCTGGGAGCTATGGAAGAATAGAATTAAATGACTGGCCAGGACAAAAAACAATCATCTTTAAGCATTGTGCATATGTAATGTAAACGTGTACGTGGGTGTGCTTGCATGTATAGATGCGTGGAGGCCACTTTATCACTCCCCACCTTATTCTCTCACTTTTTTTTTTCTTTTCTCTGTAGCTTTCGAGGTTGTCCTGTAACTCACTCTGTAGACCAGGCTGGCCTCGAACTCACAGAGATCCGCCTGTCTCTGCCTTCCGAGTACTGGGATTAAAGGCGTGTGCTCCCCGCCTCACCTTATTCCCTTGAGACGCCATCTCTTACTGAGCCCGGAGCTCTGCTTTTCAACTCCATTAGCCGGCAAGCACACGCGGGTGTCCTCGTGTGTCCACCCACCATAGTGCTGCAGTTATGGGCCTGCGCCACTAGGGGTGGGTCAGCTTTAAACCAGTGCCAGAGATCCCAACTCAGGTCCTCAGGTTTGCACTGCAAACACTTTACCCATGGCCTCAGGACTCTTCCTTTAAACATTATTTGCTATTTCAAAAAGAATCACAGGAAATACCTAATCACTGGGCCACGTACATGTAACGGGCTTTTGAAATTTTTATTTCTCCGGTGCTGGGGATGGACTGAAGGATCAGCAACCTTTAAGCCGCTGAGCAACGCCCCCCCCTTCCCCTGCTTTTGTGTTTGTTTTGAGACAAGGTCTCAAATAGCTCAGGCTGGCCTAATTCACTATGTACCCTTGAACTTTTGGTCTTCCTATAATCATAGGCAAGTGCCACAGTGTCCAGCTTTATTTTCTGTGACAAATCTCACTTTGTAGTTCAAACTCGTCTGGAACTCGCGGCGCTCCTCCAGC